TAGCACAATAGAGATTCCTTATGCCGAAGTTTGGATCGGTTGGTTGATATTATGACTTATGGTGTCGCTAGTGGGCCATTCTATACTTCGCTATCCAAGTTGGGCATGTGTGATATCTACGCCCCAAATTGAGAGGGAGAGTTAGCGGGAATGAGCTATATTCTTTCCTATTTCCTATCATGTATATTTCCTATATAGTTTTCTCTTAAATTAGGAATATACACACGGTTGTAGGTTTGATCTATTTACCATGTATAGGTCCTTGTATCTTATATATATATGATTAGAATATATGAACGAAAGGTATTCCGCACATTAACAATTGTATAGCATGACATTTGGTAGCAAACATATGTTAAAACATAAAACTCATCGGTGAGAGCGACAAATCTTAATGTCTGCAGTTTCGTCAACGAATAACGGTTGTCTTGGCATGGCGGTTTCGACAGTGAACCGACGCATCGAGACACTATTATTTTCGATAGCGAATCGACATGTCTTGATGCATAGCAAAATTTAAGCAACGACATCAAGCAAATTAATTTAGGCATTATGTTAAACACACATAAGCATGCATATGTTACGTTTCCACGGTTTCGGTCATTACAAAAAGGGGTCAAAATTTTGATGGTGATAATAAACTGATTCTTGTATTGTTTAAAACATCTCTAAATTTGCTAAATTTACCTTATTATTTCATCTATCTTAAGAGCATGTATGCCTCTCTTAAATTCCTACATGAATAATCATAGTTGTAAAACCAAAGCTGTTATACCAACTTGACATCGGGATGATAGGAATAAGGCATTACAATGTCCCGCACAACACACTCATACAAATGATAGTTTATGCTCACTACTATAAGGCTCAAAATCAAAGAGATATAGATGCAAATAATCCACCACTCTAAAGATACAAACTAAATCACCATTTTAGAGATATAGAGTTAATAGATAATAGTTCATCACTCACAAGGAGATAGATAAGCTGAATAAAGTGCCAAAAAGGCCAAGTCAAAGATTTTCAATTTAATTTCGACATAAAGATGCAAAAATACATGGTTGAATGATTAATATATACTAGGAAAAACTCTTGAAGTCTAGAAAATAACCAAAATGATAATATTTGGGCCAAAATAAATGACTTTGACATAAAACTAGACTCATAATATATAGTCAATACACATTTTTTAGTTACGGAGAACACAAACAAACACCTAAGAAGTTTATACAATTTACACAGTAAAACTAAAGCAGCCATAACTTCTTGCTAGTAACTCCAAAACCTGCATAGTTGTACGATTTGAACATATCACATTTTGAACTTGAAAACGACATTTGATAATTAAAATTTACCATCAACTGGAGAGAGATAAATTTGAACTTAAAGTTGGCCCACAGGCTGGTGGTAGATGGCAATCTACAACTTCACCCGTTTGCCTTGCAAGCCCAAATTCAAGTTGCCTAATATCTCTGGGTACATTTGAAGACAATCCGGGGTCATGCAAGTCAAGTGATTTTTCTGTTAATTTGGATAGAAAAAATAAATAGAACAACATATTAGGGAAATATCGTTTACACAATGGTTAAATTAATACGATTAGAGATGTAAAGACATATTAGAAAATTTTCACAGGACAAATTGAGTTATTACTCTCTCTCTCTCTATATATATATATTAGCATTAGTGAGGAAGGGTATTATGGCTTGATAGATAAACACAGAACTTGATTACCAACAATGACAAATAATAATAATTAATTAATTAATTAATTCTAATAGGAATTTAACTCATTACATTCAGAATTATCATCACAAATACATTGAAAATCTTAATGCCCAACACCAGGAACAGTCAAGTGGTGGGTAACCATGTATTTATCTATTAATAATTAAAATTTAGGGTTTGTACGGCGTATGAACAAAAGTGAGAAAATGAGCCGTTTATCTAAGTTTTTAAATGCACCTAGATTTGCATAATTTAGATGCAAAGACAGATAATTGAAAACAAAGGTAAACATTCAAGAGATTGAAAATATAGTAAATTTATTTTTTCCCTAAAAAGACATATTGAAAATAAGTAAATGTTTAGAGATAAATTGGAAATTAATATATAAAACTAAAAGAAATGAGACAATGAACAGTAAATACTGTTCATTTGCCTTGGTTCATTGTTCATCATGTGGCATGTTTGTAATTTTTTTGCAACTTTTTTTTTAGAGATGCTAAAAGGAATGGTCTACCCTTTCTCAAAGGTTGCTGACTTATGGAAAGAGATGACATAGAAACGGAAACTACTTTCCATGAGTTAGGAATAATTAATCAAACTGTCGCATTATATATATTTAGGTACAGTTATTTGAGTCGTTATTTTGTAGGTTTTTTATTTTATGATTTTTCCCTTTTAAATTACTATTATTATTATTATTATTATCACCATCATATGTATTTCAAAAATAAATTATTTATTGATTTATACTTGATAAAAAGGGTCTATTGATGTTATGATTCTATACCAATTTTGGATAAATTACAATAATCCTGTTAAAATAACATAAAATAATGACTTGAAATAGTATGAATCGCTGATTAAAAAAGAATCTTTCCATTAAATAATGGATTTGTGAAATTAAAAAATAACCTTTTACTAAAAAAAAAAAAAAGAAGAAAGTGAATAAAAGAAAGATTTTATAAAAACAACTAGATAAATCAAATTAAATCCTAATAGTAGATCTATTGTTGTTAAAAGAAGCTATCTATATTTCTTTCAAGATATTATAATTATAGCGTTTTCAAGTTACAAATCATTCGAGTAACAACTTATCTTAATATTCACTAATTTAATTAATTAGTCCATATTAGTAATACTCTAAAAGGCTTGGGGGTTGAACAATATTCGCTTCGTGTTTTTTTTTTTTTTTTTTTGTAATTTTTAGATTATTTTGTTTTATTGTATATATATATATATATATATATATATATATATTTGTAATATTTACTCTTAGTTTTATCACTCAATTTTTTTTTATAATTTTTAAATTATTTCGTTTTGATCCCTAAACTTTTAAAATAAAAATTTTAATCCCTACCTAATGCGCTACATGCTTTTTCTTTTCTTTGCCTTTTTTTTAATCAATTTATGTTCTCTTTTTATTTAATTAGGTGTTAAAATTTTTAAAAATTGTTCGTTATTTTTTTCATCGAAGTTAATGATTATATATATATATATATCACTCCCTCACAATGTACTATTCACTCCTTTTTTTTCTTTTTCTTTTTTTCTTTACCCTCACAATGTCCTATTCACTTTTATTTTTTATTTTTATTTTTAACTCTTAGTTTTTTTTATATAAAAAAAAATTTCTATCTTAGTTTTTTTTTTTTTTGTGATTTTCAAATTATTTTGTCTTGATTCATAAAATTTTAAATTAAAAATTTTGATCCCTATACGATGCACTACATGCATTTTCTTCTTCTTCTTTTCATTAATTTGTGTTTTTTTTTAATTGGGTGTTAAAATTTTTTAAAAATCAATCGTTACTTTTTTCATATAAGCTGATGATTATATATATATATATATACTTTTTGTAAAAAAAGCTGTTTTCATCAATAGTAAACAAGAATAAATTATTATTCTTTCATTTGTTAATTTTTATGCAAGTCTATACATTAACTATAACTGTATTTTTTTGATATATTCTTTTAAAACAATATATTCTTAAAGTATTTTTCTTATGACAATACTTGTTCTCCCCCTCATAATAAACTATTCACTCCTTTTTTCTCTCTCACAATTCACTCTTGGTTTTTTTTTTTTTTTTAATTTTCACCCTTACTTTTTTTTTCTTAGTTTTTTTTATATAATTTTCTAATCATTTCGTTTTGATCCTTGAAATTTAATCCCTAGGCTGATGCACTACATGTCTTTTCTTTTTTCTTTGGTTTTTTTGTTTGATTTTTTCCATCAATTTATATTCTTTTTTTATTTAATTAGGTGTTAAAATTTTTAAAAAGCAATAGTTTTTTTTTCACACAAGCTGACGATTATATAATATGTATAGATCAAATGTATATATTTTTAAAAAATAATCTTTTCATTAACATTAAATAAGAATAAATTTTTATTTTTTCATTGGTTAATTTTTATGCAAGCTTATACATTAATTGTAACTTTATTTTTTAGATATATTCTTATAAAAAATATATTTTTAAAGTATTTATTTTTAAATTATTAATTAATATTTCAAGTTTAAATTATATATTACAAGTTTTTATTTAGGAATCCATAAATAAAGAAAAATAAATCATATTTTTTTAAGCATAAATTATATGAAAAACAAGAAAAATAGTAATAATTAAATAAAAAATTAATGAAAAAATTATAAAATTATTGCAATGATTTTGTTGTATCCATCCGTAGTATTGTGTGGATAATTTTAAAAATTAATCTTTTCATCAGCATTAAATAAGAAGTTTTTTTCTATTTGTTTATTTTTATAAAAGTCTATCTATTAATTATAACTTTATTTTTTAGAATATAATATTATGAAAAATATATTTTTATTTTTTATTCTTGATTAATATTTTAGTTAAAATTAATCTAGAAAAAGAATAATTTATAAAAAACAACATAAAAAAATTAATTAAATAAAAAATTATAATTAAAAATTTTAAAATGATTTTATTCAATCAAACCAACAGTATAGCGTGGGGATCCGACTAGTAATCTCTAAAATACAAAAACCGATGGAGTCATTTTCTGAGGAGATCAAAAAAGAAAAAAAACTAGAAGGGATGAATAAAAGGCACAGGGAGCATAATGCGCATCCCTTCACTTCACCCCAACCTCCAGTTAAAAACATCTCTCTCTCTCTCAATCACTTGAAAACCCCACTGTCACTCCTCTGTCTGACCTTAAAGAACCATAAAATTATAGTCCACAGGCACGCGCTGACGCTGTCTTCTTTCTAGTGAATCCAATCTAATCTAATCCAATCCATTATGGATCCTCCATTGGTAAGCGAGACCTCTTTTTCTGCAGCCAACCCATCTTCCTACACGTTAACTGAGATTTGGCCTTTTCCACCTTCTTCTTCAACTGCTTTGGGCCTCCGGATGGGTAATTTGGCCGACCGAGATGGGTCCATTGAGGAATCCACTGTGACAGAGCAGAGCGGTGGAAATGGAAATGGAACTAGGAAGACTAGAGATTTGAGTTCCGAGGAGGATTATTCCTCTAAAATAGTTTCTACTACCACTAGTGCCAATGATTTGGTTTGTTTCTACTTCATTTTCTTGCCTCTGCCTCTTTTTTTTTCTTTTTTTTAAATCCCTTTTGTTTGGTTGCTCAGAAAATAAAAGAGAATTGGAGAAATTTTATTTGTCAATATATCTTTTTCTCCCGGAATCGTTATTTTTAACCATGAAATGATTAAGGTTCAAAATTTTGCTGATAAAAGGAAGGAAAAAGAGAATATATATAATGAACATAATAACTCCTGAAAAAAGTTAGATTTGGAGTGTGGGTTCTGTCAAATGGGATTAAATTTTCTTCTATTTATACTTGCTTCGCAATTGAATTGGTTTGTTGGGTTTTATTTGAATGCAATTTAAATGTTTTTCTTCCCTATATAAACCTTTGATCTGTACAAGTTTTGTTTGTGCTTCTATTTCTTTTTTCCGAATGGAGTTTGGGTTGTTCCTTTATGGATTGAAATTTTCAGCTTTTTGGACTGAAGATGTTAGGTTAGCTGATAGACATGAGCTATTCCTTGAATTGAAAATGATGTATTTCTATACCTTTCTTTTCTTTGTATTTGTGATAGAATGATTCGAATGGTAAGCGGAGGAAAATATCTGGATCAAGGAGTGAAAACAACAATTCAAGAGCTGAAATAGAAGCAAGTTCTGGTGCTAATAACAAGCCAGCTGAACAAAGCAGTAAACCATTGGAGCCGCCTAAGCAAGACTACATTCATGTCAGAGCAAGAAGGGGCCAAGCGACTGATAGCCACAGTTTAGCGGAGAGAGTAATTTACTTCTGCCCTCTTAAATTTGCCAATTCTTAAATCTTTTCTCAATTTAAAAAGAATGAACTAGGACTTTTCGTTTCTTCATGTAAAATGGATTCTGGTTGATATGAAATTGTAATCATTTTGCTGGATTGTTGAGTTCATCTGTTTGAGCCTTCGGAGTTTTAAATGGTAATCATTTTTTTTAACCTGCTGCTTACTATAGACTTGCTTTTGGCAGGCTCGGAGAGAAAAGATTAGTGAGAGGATGAAGATACTCCAAGATTTGGTCCCCGGGTGTAATAAGGTGCTCATTTTTCTTGCTTGTCTTATATTAGTTCTTTTACTGTAGTTATGCAAAATTTTTGCCAAGGAAAATTTAAACAGAAGGTCTAGGTAGACTTAGGATGAATCTGTCACCTCGTCTCTGTTGTATACTATACTTCATGCCTCATAATTTAGCTATCCCATAACAGACATTTTGGTATATCCAAGATAAGTTCCTAATTCAGTGTCATCTGAATCGCAATAATTTCCTAACACAATACATATATGCATTATTTTTTTAACTAGGTTATCGGTAAAGCAATTGTCCTTGATGAGATAATTAATTACATCCAGTCACTCCAACGTCAGGTTGAGGTAGTATCCCCATCTTACAATTCTTATTGCCATTTCAAGACTATTTATTTTCTTTAGATTCTGTTGAAGCTGAACCTGGACCTATGCTTTTTTAATTTGATTTTATAGTTCCTCTCAATGAAGCTAGAAGCAGTAAATTCAAGTACGAACTCAAGCCCCATGATTGAAGGCCTTCATCTGAAAGACGTAAGTTGACATAACTTGATTGAGCACTTGACTTTACATCATCATAGAATTTATTTACTATAGTATGGGAGGTAGTTTCTGGCATCTTTCTTATGAATGCTCTGCCATTGTTGGTATCCATGTACCGCCAAGAAAATTAGAGCGATATTGATACTGCTGAATGGAAAGTTAATTGGCTGAGTGGTTGTCAAATGTGGCGATTGACCCAGATTGCACCATTACAATTTTAAACACTTACAAGCTGATTTCTCTCTCATCTCTTGGTTAGGATCCCTGTTATTGTGGAGGGATGAGCCTACAGATTATATACAAAAACTGCTTTGTTTTTATTTTTCATTTGTTACTAAATCTCAAATAAAGGGGTCTCTTTGTGTAGTAGTTCTGAAAGCCTTCCCAGAATTCTGATTGTTAGGCAATGCTGCCCTTCTGCCAACATTCAGTAGCTTGCACAGAATCTGAACAAGTTAGCATCTTCTAGTATTCAGTATTTCTGATGTTTAAGAACCAGTATCTGGAATTAAGGTTTTGTATTTATTGCAAATAGAAAAAATTGCCCTAAAGAAATACTGAATTCCAACTGCTGTTGCCTCAGTTTTGGAGTGCAGGTTGAGAGATTTATACGATCATCCAAAAAGCAGCCAGAGAGGTTGCTTGATTTAAGAGCAATCTAACCTCATCATTACTTGTATTTTTCAATCTCCTATTGTATTCTTCCAATTGCTTATGTCTTGAATGAGCAAACAAATGAAATACCTGATGTATTCATAATCCAGTCAAGGGCTCCATAGCTTTGTGGGTGTGGGGGGGTTGTTTGAATCCTGCTAACTTTAGGAGCTGTTTTTCTCATGAAGAGAATATAACTGTACCAATAAAAACATCTGTTAGTTTTTTCTGTCGTGATTTTTTTCAACCACTTGATTGCTTGTTGTAGCTTGGTGCGCAGCCACTTGATGCTACTGGAATGGTATTTGGCCCACAACAAACAAGAGAATATGTTCAAGGATCCCAATCTGAATGGCTACATATGCAGGTTGGCGGAAGTTTTGAAAGAGCAACGTAATCAAGGAGCTAGATTTCTTTAGTTTCTTGAGGGAAAATTTGTTATTTGGTTCCATATTAAATGCAGAAATGAGTTTATGATATCTGTGACCATAACTGAAGTTGTACTAATCTCATTCGTAGAAAATACATCTAATCTTTAATTGTATCATATCTGTTAAGATATATATTAGCTGTAAATATTATTATTATTATTATTATCTTCTAGATATTAGGTGTGTTAATGTTATCCCTTAATTTAAGGGACTCTAGTTATGTTTATCTTTATCCCTAGATTAGGTAGTTTCCTACTCGACTCTAGGACTCATTGTATATAGATTCGATGCATTGTAACCTACATAAGAGTGAATATATAATTTTTCCTCATAATTTTCTTCAACATGGTATCGAGCTTTAGGGTTCTTTGCTGAAATTCTGTACAGCCTTCATTGCTGTCAGTTTTCTTCTGTTTTTTTTTTCCACAGCCTTAATTGCTGTAATTTTTCCATAGTTCTTTTGTTTCTAAACCTTTTATTCCTTTACTATGTCTACAACTGAAACTTCCATCTCGGAGGAAGTAAATTCTATCCAAAAACCCGGTGAGTTACAAAACATTAGGGCCTCCTATCGACTCAATGGAAAAAACTATCCGAAGTGGTCTCAATTCATTCGCACATACACGAAGGGTAAAGGAAGACTTAGCCATATCATAGGAAAGGGACCGGAAAAGAAAAACCCGGCATTTGACGCATGGGATGAAGAGGATTCAATGATTATGTCATGGCTTTGGGACTCGATGGATCCTACCATTAGTGACACCTGCATGTTTTTTGCTTCGCAAAGGAGATTTGGGAGTTCATCCGGCGTACCTACTCGAAAGGATCGTGATGCGGTCGGAATTTATGAGGTAAAAATCAAAGCTGGGGTAGCAAAACAAGGAGATAAAATTGTTACATAATATGCCAATATCCTACGGAATTTATGGCGGGAACTTGATCATTATCGCGTATTTGAGATGAAGTGTGCGAGAGGATGTTGCAATCTTAAAGAATTTTATTGAGAAAGATCGGGTGTATGATTTTTTGGTTGGTTTGAACTCGGAATTTGACCAAGAGTCCGGATTATTGGCAAAGAAGAGATGCCATCATTGGAAGAGACAATTTCGTTGATTAGAGCGAGGAAACTAGAAAAAACATTATGCTCGAAGTTCCAACAACGAAGGGTTTGCATTAGCAACAAAAGGAGATCAACGGGAGAGAAGGAGGATTGACAAATATCCTCGGTTGAAGGATAACGGAGACAACATGTGGTGTACATATTGTAAGAAGTCGAGACATACCAAAGAAAGATGCTTGGAAATTAAATGGTAAACCACCAAGTCATGAGTGGGGAAACCGTGGAGGGCAACCAAGGTTCCAGCAAAAATCTCAACATGAAGCTCACTCGGCAGAACAAGTCAATGAGGAAGTAAAGATGGATAATGGTGGATTCAATAGTGTGGAGATAGAAAAGCTGAAAAACTAATTAGGTTCTCTTGAAAAACCATCCGGGGCTTGTTCATTGGCTCTTTCGGGTAAGTCTTCATTCTCCACTTGCATGTATGTCTCAAATACAACCTATACCAATTCATGGATAATTGATTCGGAGCCACAGACCACATGACTCATTCATCACGGCTTTTCCATACCTATAACCCCCGCCCTAGTAATAGGAAGATCATAGTGGCAAATGGATCTTTGGCTACTCATTGCGAGTGTAGGAAACATCATGGTTACACCTACTCTCACTCTTAAAAATGTACTCCATGTGCTAAAATTATCAATCAACCTAGTGTCAATCAAAAAACTTACTCATGATCTTAAATGCTTTGTAATTTTTTCTCCTTCTTATTGTGTTTTGCGGGATCGGGGCTCGGGGAGGAAGATTGGAATTGCTAAGGAAAGGAATGGCCTCTATCATCTTGATTCTTTTTGGAGTATTATGAATAATTTGTCCGTGTCTTTGTTTAGTTCTTCCAATAAAGAGACCATTTGGCTCTATCACCTTCGTCTTGGTCATCCTACGTTTAGAGTCCTTAAATTCATGTTTCCTAACTTGTTTAAAGGATTAGACATTTCGGATTTTCATTGTGAAATTTGTGAGTTGGCAAAACACACTCGTATATCTTTTCCTATCGGTAATCAAAGAAGTTCTAAACCTTTTCATTTGATCCATAGTGACATATGAGGCCACTTCTCCTGTTTCAAATATCTCTCGGTGCTAGATGGTTTGTTACCTTGATAGATGATTGTACTCGAGTTACTTGGCTTTATTTACTCAAACAAAAATCGATGTTAGCATTGTTATCCCTAATTTTCTTTCTATGATTCACAATCAATTTGGGGTCAAAATGAAGAATTTTAGGTCGGACAATGCTAGGGACTACTTCAACCATACATCGACTCCATACTTTCAACAACAAGGAATCATTCATGACTCCTCTTGCGTTGACACACCACAACAAAACGGGGTGGCCGAACGCAAGAATGGGCACTTACTCAATTTGGCTAGGGCCTTACTTTTTCAAGGAAATGTTCTAAAATCTTATTGGGGGAGGTCGTCCTCACAGCCACTCATATGATCAATAAATCGCCCTCTTAAGTTTTATCCCATAAAAGTCCCATGGAAGTCCTCAATACCTTCTATCCGGAGTTTCGAATTTCTAATGGACTCATTCCTAGGGTATTTGGTTGCACGACCTTTGTTCACATTCATAGTCATCAAAGAGAAAAGTTAGATCCCCGAGCACACAAGTGTGTTTTCCTTGGTTATTCTTTTACACAAAAAGGCTATAAGTGCTATAATCCTCTCACTAAAAAATTTTATGTTTCAAGTCGATGTCACTTTCACGGAAAACCAGCCATACTTCAAAAAGTCCTATCTTCGGGGGAGACTACATCACTACTAGAAGATAGTACTTTTGATAGTACTTGTACTCTTGATCTCCCTAATCGTCCGGTAGAGTCGGTTCCATCTCCCGTTCTTGGTTCTCCATTAGAGTCTGTTCCTAATCCAAAACAGAGACAATTATCAATTCCTAATCCTACAAAATCTAATCCGAATCCAACCCGGGTTATTCATAATGATCCGAGATTTTCATAGGTATATACTAGAAGGATCTGTTCCGGACACACAACAAGTTCAAGAATCCTACCCGGACTCGATAAAAACCCCATGGTAAGATCCGATCCAACCCTAAGCACACAATCAATAGAAACACTCGGTGACCTTCCCATAGCTATCGAAAAGGCGATAGAGAATGCATCAAAAGACCTATGTACCCATTGTCTCACTATGTGTCACTTAAAAACCTATCACCAAACCATAGACAATTCATTACCGGCCTCAACATCATTTGTATCCTCACTACCTGTATCCGAGGTATTGTCAAAAAGAGAATGGAGAAATGCCATGAAAGAGGATATGGCGGCTACTGAAAAGAATCAAACATGGGAGATTGTGGATAAACCAAAGGGGAAGAACATAGTCAATTGTAAGTGGATTTTTACACTTAAGTATAAGGTCGATGGATCACTTGAGAGGTATAAAGCAAGGTTGGTGGCTAAGGGATATACTCGGACTTATGGGGTAGACTATCGGGAGACATTTGCACCTGTGGCAAAGATGAACACCGTTAGGATTCTGTTATCCCTAACAAGCACATTTTGATTGGTAGTCGTTACAATACGATGTGAAGAATGCATTTCTTCATATAGACCTAGATGAAGAAATTTACATGGATGTTCCTCCAAGATTTGAAGAAGAAACAAGGAATAAAGTTTGCGAGGTTGAAGAAGGCCCTTTATGGACTAAAACAATCACCAAGAGCATGGTTTGGAAGGTTTACTAAAGTTATGAAAGCTTTTGGATACCAACAGAGTCGGGGTGATCATACCCTTTTCATAAAGCACTCATCAACAAGGGAAGTGACAAGCACTTCTAGTGTATGTAGATGACATCATCATCATTGGGAATGATGAAAAGGAAAAACTAGAACCGAAACAACGATTGGTCAAGGAATTCAAGATAAAGGAGCTTGGGAGATTGAAGTACTTCCTAGGTATTGAGGTGGCATACTCTAGAAAGGGGATTTTCATATCCCAACAAAAATATGTGATTGATTTATTAAAGGAGACAAGAAAAATTGGATGTAAGCCAATATCTACACCCATTGAAGCTAATCAAAAACTCGGAGAAGCCAAAGAAGAACCTTCGAGTGGATAGAAAAATGTATCGGAGGCTAGTAGGGAGGCTCATCTACCTTGCACATACTCGACTAGACATAGCATACTCTGTAAGTGTGATCGATCGGTTCATGCATGATTCGAGGAAGTCACATTTACAAGTCGCTTATAGAGTGTTACGGTATTTGAAAGGAAATCCGGGAAAAGGAATCATGTTCAAAAGACAAAGGGATCTTGCCGTTGAAGTCTACATCGATGCAGATTATGGAGAATCTATAATGGATAGAAAATCAACTACCGGGTATTGTATGTTCCTTGGAGGTAATCTTATAACATGGAGGAGTAAAAAACAAAATGTTGTGGCTAGATCATCTGCTGAATCGAATTCAAAGCAATTGCTCAAGGTTTGTGTGAAATGTTGTGGTTGAAGATTATCCTAGATGACTTGAGAATCAAGTGGGAAGGTCCTATGAAACTCTACTCGTGATAACAAATCTGCTATCAACATTGCTCATAATCCTATACAACATGATAGGACTAAGCATATTGAGATTGACGAGCATTTTATCAAAGAAAAGCTAGAGGAGGGATTAGTATGCTTATCTTATGTTCCTACGGGATACCAACTTGCGGATGTTCTTACCAAAGGGTTGAATAGCTCCAATTTTCATGATAATATTTCCAAGTCGGGAATGGAAGATATCTATTCCTCGACTTGAGGGGAGTGTTAAGATATATATTAGTCGTAAATATTATTATTATTATTATTATCTTCTAGATATTATGGGTGTTAATGTTATCCCTTAATTTAAGGGACTCTAGTTATGTTTATCTTTATCCCTAGGTTAGGTAGTTTCCTACTCGACTCTAGAACTCATTGTATATATATTCGATGCATTGTAACCTACATAAGAGTGAATATATAATTTTTCCTCTCAATTTTCTTCAACAATATCATCCGATCTGGATTCGCCTCTGCTTTTGTATCTAATCCGAATCTCCTAGAGCGAATTCGGTTCGGATAACTGTACCAAAAGCGTTGTGCTTCTAATTTGTAAGTCGTTACGTCCCGTTGTCGGAATATGTTGTTAAGGTGCAAAATCCCGTTTTGAAACGGGTGATTTTGACAAGGGAAAACTGATGCGAATTCACATATTGTGTAAACCTTTCCCTTAAGATTTGCGAATTTTCATTGATTTTGGAAATGTGAAAACCTGTGTTATTGCAATCTAAAACCTAACGGAAGGAGGAAACGAAATTTGAAAGGACAGGAGAAAAAAAAAAAAAAAACAAAGAAGCTAATAAGGATTAACAGAACATGGGAACAATAACCTCAATCAGGTGATTTGAGTTGTGAAGGATATGGGAAAGGCGCAGAGGCAAGCGCAAGTATCACCTTATAAAAGTGATAATTCTTAAGACCCAACATTGATTTTATGTTATCGATCACATCATTTCCTACTTGGAAGGCCTTGGTTAACACATCATCGGGGATTGAAGGTGTTGAAGCAAAGAGAGTTGTTGGTACGATGGCAGACCCAGGCAAGTGACTGTTGAAAGCTGTGAAAAGGAGGGCCTTCCCTTCTCCAACATTTAGCTGAAAGTGAACAAGACCCCTAGGAACAACAAACATCTGCCCAGCAGCCAATGCTTTGGAGCGAAACACATTGCTAGTTGATATAAATCCTACAAGTAGCTTCCTTTCAATGACCACACCAGTCTCTGTTGCACGAGGATGGGAGCAAAGTCTACTCGGTTCATGGAAATTCCAAGAGTATTGCGGCTTGGAAAAGAAAGGACATTTGCTGCAACCAAATATGTTTGTTGTGTTTCCCTCTTCGCTTAACCCATCAAAGAAAAAATCATCTGAAGTTACTTCTGCCTCAGGTTTACAAGGGAAGCCATTTACAGATATGGGGGCTTCTAAGTATGTAACACAGAAGTCCTGCAGTGGATAAGGGTCAGCTGAATTGATATGCAAGGGAAGAAGCAACAAGGTGCATATAATCTTGCAGGTAACCATCATTGTTGGGCCTAGTAATAGTTATTGACTCGAAAATTAGCTCTATTGACCTTGGGACTTCCTTCCCAGTAAAGGTCTTCTTTTTCTTTTTTCTTTTTTATGATTTTTCCCTGGTACTTCAGAGAGAGCTGAATAAAAAGACTTTAGCGACCAAGTCCCTTGTCAATCGGCACACGAGTCTATTAATTGGTTTCCACTCTCTGCGAAGAGCCAAACATCAACTGTTGGATAGCAGCGTCACACCCTCCCATATGGGATTCCAAAAGAACAACCAACTCCATGAGCAAACGAAAATGTGACCACTTAAAAAGTGATCACCACTACTTGTAAGAATTGCATTTACTTCAATTTGAGACAGCAACATGTACGTCAAAAAACTTTGGAAATACAAAGTATCATTAAAGATGGTTATTATTATTCCAATACAGATTTCCAGCATCTTAAGTTTGTTATTTGCACTCGGGAAATACAGATCATCCCAACCCATTTACATCAAGCACTACTTTCAAGTGCCAAATATCATGTTCCTTGGACAACTAATCATGGCTTCTCATTGATGGCTTATCAGAAGTCAGAACGTTTAATCCCTAGCATTTGCAAGCCTCAAAAGAAAAAAAAATCATCATCATGTTATAGGCCAACAGAATTAATTTCTTGAAGGCTTTGAAGAAAATTGATGTGTGGTTTCAAAGTCCAACGTCAAATCTGCATTCTGTAAATGTACACTAATCACACTACTAGAAAGCTTAATCCAACTCATTAATACAAGAATGGAAGAATATAGTCAATGAAACCTGTTTAAAGCAGCTTGGCTAATGGGAATCACACCAGCTGGAGACACAAGAGCATCCACCGGTACATCATTCAAAGTTACTGGTATAACTCCATCATCAATGATTTGCAGAGAATATGAAAGGGCAACTACAAAACAAGAGCACATAGTTTAAATTTGAAACACTGAAAAAAAAAAAAAGGAGCTGCCAGATGCTTGTATCTATAAAGGAAGCCAACATGTTTCCACATCATACTAAAAGAGGTGAACAAGTGAATACCAAAGAGAGGTCGCATCCAATTCCTCTCCTCTGCAAGCTCTTGATACTTCCTCAGGAAAGCGTCATAATAACTTCAAGTTTTCAATACACATGTCAACAAGAACGTGCAAAAAAAATTTAAGAAAGATGTAATTTGATTGGTTATATGACATTAGCAATATGTAGATAGTATGCATTGGGAAACTGTGCAGGCTACGAAAACATGAGATTATTTGCAGTCGGATGTCCACACTAGGTTAAAATGATGATAACTGCTCTAATAGCCACATAAGTGGATTGCTGCAGACCAATAGTAATGCCTAAAATCTTGTGTGGAAGCATAACCTAGTTGATTGCTGCAGCTCTCCTCAAGAAGAGATTTAAATTGGATCCCTTCCCCTAAAACTGTCCAAAATAATACCCAGATCCATGTATTATGAAGTTAAGACCTTGCAACTTCCACGCTGTCTACTTTTAGGGAGTATGGTTAAGGCTCCCATTTCTCTGCCACGTGCTTAGTCGCTTCTCACAACATGTAACTTGATAATCATCCTACTATCATGACTGATTTTATCCACAGGAAAAAAAAAAAGGAGGTTAAGTCTTACAACATCTAGAGCAAGGTTTTTGAAGAAATCTGGCTTCATGCCAAGCCTTTAAGTCACAGATTGAAGGCGAAAAAAAAAAGTTGGTGTAATAAGTAGATAAGCCATCCGAACAATTTAGGTCACACTACTTCATACCAAAATAGAAGCATAAGGCTCAGATGCGTGAACTCACCCTCCACCACGGCCCAAGCGTCTTCCAGATTTGTCAAATGCAAGTCCTGGCAACATAAAAGGGATATATATTATCTAATAGGATTTTGTTTTCTAAAATTTCTGGTGCATATTTGCAGAGGGAGGCAGAGACAAAAAAAGAAAGAAAAAAAAATATACCAGGCACAATGAACAAATCAACTGGGTCGTTTGCCTGCAAGACTGCAGCAAGAAGGATCTTGAATATGTGTTGGTATCAGACATAAAGCAAGAATAATTATATATGAATAAATGTGTCAGCATTCTTATTTCTAGAGGCAATGCATACAATTTAACACCGGCCAAGACATGGATGGATGCCATACAAATTATATGATGAGGTTTTCAGGACTGAAATTCTTCACCTGCTGCTGTATACCTCTCCCCCGACCCTCCCCAAACCCAAAAACAAAAGGAAAAAACCATTATCCAGAAAATTTTTAGTCTAATGCTCACAGCAAAATGTATTAAAACATAGCAAAAAGTGCACACTTCCACAGTATCTTGCCTCCTTTGATCCTCAAACCCCAGAAAGCATGTTAGAAGCAACTTATCCAAGGTATCTGGATGCACTCACGCTTGCCAAAGATCAAAAAAGCCTGGTCCAAAGCCTCCCCATTTGGCTTTTTTTTTTTTTTTCTAATATAATTAAACTAAACAACTTTCAATGGTTTCCAACTTGGCCAACTCCTTGAAGAACGAAGGAAACCGGCTGGCAGGGAAAAGCCTAGCTGCAAAAGGTAAGGTTTTTATAGCCTCTCTCACCACAGAGGATAAGTTTATGAATTATTGCTACATATCAGACATCTATATTTGGTGCTAATAAACGAACTGCAAACTGATGTCCTTTTCTATAAATTTCACAAAAATTAATTGAAGGGAATCTCTAGATTTGAGGAGGCAATAGTTGGAAATCAAAATTTAAGAGGTTCTAATTCTCTGCTCTAAACTAGTAAAAAACTGAGGAGCAAATACAAATTTCCAAAGCACACGGTCTTAAACAATAAGAACTCCAACCCTGCCGTTCCCTCAGAAAGAAGCAAGGGCTTAAAAATTAATCATGATAATAAGGAAAAAAGAGAGAGAGAGAGGGAGATCTTATTTATTCCTTTTCTCTTATATCCAACCAAAGAAGGGGGAAAAAATCTATCTACAGACAATCTGTAACCCAGGAAAGTCGGGGTTTTTTTTTGGGACAGGAAAAGGATAGATCTTGTGTACCATACGTACCATCTTCCCGTGCATTTCCATGATGATCTACCGGAGCTGGTTCTAGAATATCCATAGAGTTTGCAATTAAATCATCCATACTTGAAATGTTGAGCATTCGCATGTGACTATTCTTGTTCTCCACACGCGGAACATAAAGCTTTTTTGCACTTTGCGTTGACCTATCTAGAGTTCAAGAAAGCATATAATAAGCACACTCACAAGAGCAGCACCCAACAAAGGTTAGGAGGAAACAAATCTCAGCTACCGAACAAGTTTGCTGTACAAGAGGGATTTTCTCACATACATAGAGCATAAACCAAGAAATTGTTTCTTCTACTAACCCTAGCTTATAGCATTCTTGAATTTATATATCTATGATGATCATTACATTCACAAATCATTGTATTGACGTTTTTGAGAAATTACCTTTGGTTGGATTTTGCAGAATTTGAGACAACAATTTTGAAGTATCGACTTCATGGAGAGCACTACAAGTTATATAAGCACACAACCTCTGACTAGATTTAAACCATGGAGCTTCCAAAACAAGACTCTGAATTGCGTCATCTGATAAAAACCCAGATGAGAATTAGTCAAGAATGTAACAAAAAGAAATCATTTTTATTATGATATGATTGAAAAGATGAATGGAAAGATGGAATTTTTAATGGTACCTTCTTGGGATCTGAGGGAAGGGTCCATAGACTTGAGGGACTTGCGGACTTTGGATCGAAGGACCCGTTTCTGCTTGAATATTTCGTCGAGATTGGTGGTGGTGGTGGTGCTCATGGTGACAGGTGAACACGGAGCAGCGTTGGCTAGGCCTAGTAGCAATGGCTTCTTGGCGAAGGGCAATGGTGGTGAAGGTGAAGTTGGTAAAAATGAGCGAGGTTGGATGGTCATGAGCAACTCCTTAACTCTTTGTCGAAGCCCACTTCTACACATTATTATTTCGCACTACTTGGTCAGTCCTGTTGTCGTTGTTCTTATTTTATTATGCATATACGCCACATAAGCCTTTCTGCCTCTCTTTCTCTCTCTCTTTGCCTACCACTATGTGGCAGTATGCCATGTTTTTCTTTTTTCTATATGAAAATTGTGGATATTTAATAAATTTTGCACTGGATTCAATATAAGATGACATATCGGATAAAAGTGAGACTCTCAACCGATTAGGTTTCGATTGTTTGCTAGTAAATCTGGATTTGGTTTATTTAATAAAATAGGTTAGATATTATAAATTTAAATTAGATTTTTAAAATGTAAATTCGGATCCGAATCCTAATGGATGGGATCGAATTTGAAATTCTATTAGATTTACTATTTGATTTTTTTTTATAAAATTTATACTTACTATACTTAATATATTAATTCAATATAAATATATTCCTATCATTATACGTATAAGAAAATATATTAAGATAATATTTTATTTTATTTTGTAAAAAATTAAAATACCACACAATTTAAAACTATAAAATCAAATAATTCTAATAAAAATTTATCTTGAATCACGTCAAAAGTACAATAAAATTGAAAGAAAATAATAGTAAATAATCTTTATTTCTTATTCATTTAGTAGCAAAAAGAATATTTATTAATTTAAATTCCAAAATAATAGTGCTACAAATCAAGTTGCAAAGAAAGGAAAAAAAATCTATTAGTATTATCTTATATTTGTAACAAGTTACTCAACAAAAATTTATAAGTACATGTTACTTTACCAATATTAATAATATTACATAAGTAAATATGTGCTAATATTGTATTTTTTTTAACTTTTTTTTTAAAAAATCCAATCCTTATGACTCTCTCAATAAGTAAAATGATATATATATATATATATATATATATATATATATATATATATATATATATATATAATCTAAAATTTCAATTGTTATAAAAGAACTCATGCAAAAATTGGTTTGAGCTATACTTTCATGTATAATATTGAAATACTAAAATGGACTCCAATTTATAAAAAATTGGTTCAACATTTTATGATTCTTGCCATCAAGTTTAAAACAAATGAAATAATTATTTTTTTTTAATATATTCATTGCTCAACCCCACAACACTTCTTATCATAAAACAAAAATATAAGCACATTAAAAAAAAAAAGACAAACAATAATTTTCATAATTGGTTAATGCATAAAGAGTAGAAATGTAATGAGTTTAAGTAAATAAACTATCATACTTTTTTGTTTTGATTTGTAAGCCAATCATTTGTAGTAGTTATTGCCTCCAAAACTTCGAAAGTAAAGATGCACGATAATCATCAATTACTCTATCTTCTATACTAAATTCGAGCTTCGAAAGGAACAATGGTTGCTAGAACAACTAGAACATAACAAGCAATTTTTGCAAGGACAAAGAATATATCATAATTAGTTTTCTATCATTATAAAATATTAAACTTGTTTGTTGTAGAATAAACTCACCCCTCCAAGTACTCGTTCTAGTTCTTATTTCTTTGGAGTACGGAGATTAGAGATTGAACTTGTGTATAATATCGATCAAAGCCACTCGATCAATTATCTTAAAAAGTAACCAAAGTATTATTGTTATTTGACATATCTTCTAAAGATTTTAGTGAAGAGGAATTACTCTTGGATTCAAGTAAAAGATAGAAAATAACACGATGAACTCTATGGACATATTTGTAAGCACTACACCATGAATTTTTTCATAATGATACCGTACTAAATCTAGCTTAAATCTTAGATCAAGAACCCAACAATAGCCAATACCAAGCTACATTCTTCCCAACATTTGATGAATTTTTCTTTCATTAGTTTAGCTATTAAATGCATAAATCCATGCTTACTATTTTTCCATTCACAAATTCTAATCTCCAAATATTGATTTTTATATATTCTCTCAAGGCACGTTCACACACACTGCCTAAGATCGGCCACTAGTTTTAGCTAGCCGAGTGGCCGATGCCCAACATCGGCCTGCCGCCCACAAGCCAATGCCAAACACTAGCTCGGTGTCTAAGCATGCTTATGTGCCTCGCTCGTCGCTCGGCACGTGTGAGCCTAGCCTAGCTTAGACTTAGCATACGTCCAACGTACACTGTCCTTGCCACATGTTTAAGCATGCGCCCAACATGCGTCTTAACTAAGCAATAAGCCTAGTGTGTGCCCGGCACGACGTTCGGCATATCACGTGCCCATTACATGACCGGAATGGGCACGTGACGAGCCGAGCTAAAACGCCTCACGTGCGTGAGGCATGCCCGGCTTGTTGCCCACTCGTGGCGCATACGAGCACCAACGCCCAACATTGGCTTTAGCCTCACACACCCACTATATTCTTAACCCAAAATCAGCTTTTAAATATTTATAAAATACCAAAAATATCATATTCATAATAAAAAAATTGATAATCCATGTGATTAATCATAATTAACAAAGTATATAATTAGAGATTTAAAGAAGGCTTTGATACTAATCGAAGGATCATGCATCCTATGGAGGTGTAGAATAAAACAAAATTTTTCCTCCATCTAAAGCTCTCAAGATCAAGTTATTGAATCAACTAATCATACACACATGAATTAAATTTGTGAGTAAAATATTTACCTCTTTTAGCATATTTTAACCTTTGTAAAAAAGAGTCATCCAAGTGTCCGGCCTCTATTGATAATCCATGTAGCTAAAACACTCGGAAAAAAGCCATAAAAATCACATGAGTGCCGACTTCAATCCTTTTGTACAATTGATTTACTTTCTAAAGAAATTAGTTAGGGATTTTTTACGACAACTCGGGCTTTTAACGAGGGATACAATAACTCAAGATTTTTAGGAAAGAAACACTTTCTCTCTTTTTCTTTCTCTTTTACCCCGTGTGTGTATATATATTGTTCTCTCTCCTTTATCGCCTCTCTCCCTATTATTCATATAGGGGCAATGATGTGAACTCGCCAAGTTCGATGGCTAAAGAACCTACGAACAAGAAAGAAGAAATCTCGGAAAGTCAAATCAAATTGAAAGGACATGGATGTCATACTCTATAAAGGATAAAAAAAGAAGTGATAAATCACTCGAACACTACAAAAATCAAATTAGACTCTCGATAAGTTCGAAATTCAATTCTAAAAAGAACTAAAATGTGAATTTTCTCACAAAGGTTGATTTGATTCAAAGATTGATTAAAACAAAAATTACATATTGTTTTTACCTAAATAAACCGTTAGAAATTCGAAATGCAAAGTTGAATTAAATTTGCGTAGGATCTAATAATTAGAAATATTGGATTTAACAAAGTTTTGAATAAGACTCATTTGAAATTAGAAGAAACTCATTGCATTCAACAACCATTATGTGGACCAAATCTTGATGAATGTTGACTAAAAAATAGGTGTAAGATGCTAACTTTGGAAAGGCTTGGAAATGGGCTAAATCAATAGCTTTAGCTTTGTTAATATTGGCCCAAAACACCAACATAAGATGGTTTGACCAAATTAGACTTTCAAGTTTAAAAATTTTAACCTTAAAAGCTTAAATCGATTCACAAGGCCCATCTAAAGTTCTTTAAGCCTAGTGATAACAAAATCAACCCACTAAAGTTGAATAAACCCATTTAAGGATTCATGGATCTTCTTAGCCCTAACCCATGTGATTGGGCCTACTCGGAACGGTTAATGAATCAGCCTCCTCAAGCTCAAGCCCACAACCAGATTATGAATCATTTAGAAATTCACGGTCGACCTTTTGATTAGTCGTTGGAAGCCCATGGCCGAAGGTTATTTAGCCTTTGGAAACACACAATCAACCTCTTTAGCACTTGGCTCATTCGGCCCAAAACTCGTTAACTTCAATTCGGTTATAGATCAAGCATTTTTAGCCCAAATGCTTGCTTTGACTCATCTTCAAGCCTATATCTTTGTTTGTCGACCTATTGAGTAGTTTATGTACCAATCGGTCTATTGGACATTGAATAGTCCATATTATTTAGCTTCCCATCATACATACACTCTTCAAAAAGATTCATCCTCGAATCTTCACTTTTATGCTCGAATTCAAACTCCTACCATAAAGATATAACAAGATCTTAGGCAAAGCAGAATCAAGCTCATTAATGTTAAAATAAGCCTTCTTGTACAAATGTACAAGCATCGGCTTTAATGAAAAATAAGCTCTCTTAATGTCACTCTCTGTTGCAAAGAAACGCTCTTTCTTTTTCTCTTTTTCTTTCGATTTTTCTTTTCTTTTTCACTCTTTTTTCTTTTCTTTTTTCTCTCATTTTGCTCTCGACCTCAACTCTTTTTCTCTCAATTTCTTTTTTCAAACTCATTTGATCCTTATAAACTTATCGAGGTGACAAAAGAACAAGTGTTACATTTCTCTCTTCCATTATAAAAGAGTATTTATTATAAAATCCATCACGTTTCACCCTCCTATTAGATTGTCATGGTCTATCCAACGGAATATGACCCACATGCATTGGCACAACATCACATAAAATTTCATCCTTGTATCTCCTAATAGAAAGTGACACAAGAACTTGCATACTCATTTTAATTTTCTTATAATCATTCAATCATTATAACTTATAAGGCCTAGGATGTTTAAGTACGAGCAATCCTAGGTTCTCAAATAATTTTGTACTTGCAACATTAACATAACTCTCCATATTTATTATCAAGCTACAAACTTTATTATTCATATGACAATAGGTATGAAAAATGTTATCTCTTTGTGTATCACCCTCATCTTTCACTTGCGTGCTCAAAATGCAAATAATAACTAAGGATTTAATAACCATGGGATACTCATCTCCCTCACTCTCATTTTCGAATTAGCCTCTTTTTTTAACTCGACTTCAAACTCTATATCCTCATTTCCTTTTAACACCATTACCCATCTTATTTGGATATTAAAAAGAAATTTGACCTTTATTTATATATTTAAAGCATCTACTATCCTTATTTTA